ATGATGATGATGAACATGATGATGATGATGGTGAACATGATGATGATGATGAACATGGTGGTGATGATGATGATGATGAACATGATGATGATGATGGTGAACATGATGATGATGATGAACATGGTGGTGATGATGATGATGTTGAACATGATGATGATGATGTTGAACATGATGATGATGATAATGATGAACATGATCATCATTATCATCCTCCTTCTGTGGAGGCACAATGACAGACCTCATGTTCAACCTATGCAGGCCCCTGTACAGTGCATTGAAGGTGGTGCCCCACAGCCCCACCTAGTGGCCCCCTCCAGCTACCACTTACCGGTCCGTCCTGGAAAGAAGGAAGAGACGGAGGAGGAGGAAGAAGGTTAACAAGACAGTGGCAGGTGGATGTGCTGCTGATAAACGCACAAGAAGCTTGATTTCTGTTCATATGTAACTTACAGGTGTCCCAACATTAGCATAGCACTAGCATGTCATTAGCACATCATTAGCATATCATTAGCATGTCATTCTCATCTTCTTGAGCTGTAGATGTGCTCACAGCAACATAAGTCACTGTTGTTACTAGAATGTTGAACATATCATGGAGGCGATGGAAAAGCTATATGATGTAAGAAACGAGGAATTATCTAACGGTGATAGTAGACGTTTACATAACATGAGCGAGTGTACAATAAGCTAGACAGGAGCTAGCTAACTAGCTAACTAGCTAGCTGAATCTCACCAAACCTTTTATCAACAGGTAAACATTTACCTGCTGACATGACGTCTGCATAAAACTCTTAATACAGTAATGACAGAGAGCCACAGACAGGAAGCTGTATGATGAGTAAATAATAAACGGTGAACGTTGTGCTGTAAACATCTGGACTGAGTTCAGTGTAGAATGTTGAATTCTGATTGTCTTGGCTTGCTGGAGGCGGGATCAGCTCAACTGAAGCCAATCAGAGTGGCCGGTTGATCCATAGATATATGTAATAAAGGCTAGACATCTCGGCCAATGGAATCGCACGGCCACGCTGGCGGCCACGCTGGCGGCCATCTTGGAACGATGCTCTCGCTCACCCATAACACTGTGTTGTCGTTGTGCACGTACTTTTGAAATGACCATAACGTGCTCAGTTTTCTACCGATTTTCAGCCGGTTTGGTTTGTTCGAGGCGTCAGAGGTGTAGTTATTACACTGCACTGATGGATAATGATGTTACACAACACGAAGCTCCGAGCTGCCTCTCACCGTGCTGAGGGAACGTCTGACATGTTCATAACTACAACCACGTGTTGTTTAATGGGTTAATGTGTCGTCTGAGTGCAGTGACAAGCTGTTAAAGCTGAGGCTGAATTCTTGGTGTACTTTTTGTGCTACCAGTGGGCCTTTGGTACATGAGGAGAAACTGAGCCTCAGTGTGGTGGCGCTGTAATTGAACTGGTTTAATGCTGAGTCATTTAATTGTATGTTCATGAACTTTATGATGTTGGTTGTAAAGGCCCAAATCTAATGTTGATTTAACATGAAGATAATGTTTGAGGATGCTGCTGATACACAGTTAAGACACAATAAGAGGTGATGCTGGGCTATAGTTTGATGTTGTCTGTCTTGCTGACTGGGTGAGATACCAGTGGAACCAAACAGCCGTCTGAAGGAAATGTTCTGACCTCATCCAGTAGGTCAGGTTTTTGTGAAGGGAGGAAGTGGACAGAACAGAGCAGGACCAGAAGTTCCAGTGAGCTGGAAGGCGAGCGAGCCACCTTGGAGATCCCAGACCGAGGGAGAGTGAGATGGAGCGATCCGGTCCCTGAACTGAGGAAGAACTGCCCTGACTGTACACCGGCTCGAATACGCCGACTCATTGGACCTGATTGAAACCAACACACACACACTGGACCCAACCGGTTGTTTCTTCACTAAAGCACAGAAAGAACTTTATTTTTCTACAAGCGTGCACACTTCAGGTGTTTAACTTCTTTATGCTGGGAATCTGAACGTCTCACTGGGACGTTTCAGATCCTATTCATAGTCATTTATATGCAGTCATTCCTTCACCCGAGGCGTTCCACATGATCTTCTGACACTGGTCCATTATGATCAGTACCAACTCAGAACTACTCGAAGCAGGTGGTACGCTCTGCTCCCAGAGCTCCTGCAGCTCTCCTACAGCTCCTGTTCTGCCACCATCTGCTCTGAGCGCTGAAGCTCTTCAGCTGTGCTCAGACGGCGGCTGCTCACAGCGCTGATAGACACCACTGGTTTGGACACAACAGCACCGTGGAGGCTCTCCACCCACCAAACTCTCCACCTTAGTCTCCTTCACACGTCTTCCCCACAATGACATGAAGTGTCTTTCTGGACTGGGTTCAGGAGCTTCACCACTGATGGAGCTGAGCTGGTTCCAGAACAGGACCTCCAGGGAACATTACCAGTGTAGCAGGAGCTGTGGGAGCAGAGCAGCTCTGCACAGGGAGAACACTTCAGTGTGATGGAGCCAGATCTACATCAGGTACAGTTCTTGATCTTTACAGGAACGTCTGAGAACTTTCTGATCATCAGGACTTTATTGATTCATTTCTGAAGAACACAAAGTGGGTTTTGTGGGCTTCATAAACGTCCTACTGCTGTGGTCCTGACAGGAGACGGGATTATTTCCTGTTGTGAAGGTTTCAGGATCAGAAGTCTCCGTAAATGTTTCATGACCTGCACTGAGCAGCTTCAGTTTCTTCAGACGCTGTTTAAAGCATGAAGTCCAACAAAAGTTCAAATATCATGAAAAACATGACCAGAAAAGCTCCATGTCACAACAAGACCGTGAGCTCTGTTGTTGTGAGGCTGGCAGAGATGCTGTGGAGCTGCAGAACCTCCACATCCTCAGCACTGAGCCTGCAGTCTTCATCAGTGGACCGACAGCAGGCCGACATGGACGGATCCGTCCTCATGTCTTCCTGATGCTTCTCCAACATTTACAACACGGGAGTTGAATCTTTCCAACACACCTGATTCAAATGATCAGGATGGTTATCAGGCTTCTGCAGAGCTTGATGATGAGCTGATCATGTGAATCTGGTACGTTGGAAGAGGGGAACATCTAAAACATGCAGGACTGTGGCCCTCCAGGACCAGGATTGGACACCCCTGATTTACAACATGTTGGTCCAAAGAAAAAGGCTCCGCTTTTAACTGTGAATGTAAATGTGTCATCTGGACTCCTTTGAAGGTTTTAACCCTCTAAAGTCCAAGCAGGAGCTTCTGTCTCCTGGTCCTTCACTGAGGTTCATGTTTGTCTGCAGCTCTGAGGAACTCAGAGACGTCTTCTGTCAGCAGGACTCAGAACCATGGAGACCAGAGAGAAGAAAACATGTCTTTGATGATTTATTTTATAAAATGTAAAAACCAGGAACCATCATGTCTCCTCAGATGTTAAACCCTGGAGCTGATGTCTCCTCGACCTGCACATGTTGAACCATCTCCATGTCTCCAGACTGTTCCTCATCAGCTGTAGAAAGACTGGTTCTTTCTACCAACCAAAGGTTTGGTTTTGGTTTAGGACCGAACAATTTGTGATGCAGGTGTGTGGACGCCGACCCACCGGCGCGGCGCTGCTCGTTCTGAGCTTCAGCAGTTGGAGTCAGAAGAACAAAGTGGAGGAGTGATGATGTTTCAGCGCCTGTTGCGGCCGGCGGCTCCGTTAAAAGTGTCCGATGAACAGAACTGATGCTTCTGCAGACGGGCTCTGAAAGGTCTGGATGAGAGCCGCTGAGCACCAGCACAGAGAGTTCTGGTTCCTGGAGGAACCCACAGTTAGACGGTGACATTGAAGTGTTGGAGGCTGGCTGTGTGGATGCTGCTGCCCCCTAGCGGACAGGAGCGTGCAGCGCAGCGCCCAGACCCAGGTACTCCAGGTTCTCCGCCGCTGGCAGGAACAGACTCCCACCTATCGCCGTGGCGGCGGTCTGCGGCCGGCGGTCGGCCCGGTAGTCGGGGCTGTCCAGGCTGTCGTTCAGGTATTCGGGTCCGGAAGGAACCGGGTCAGAGTTCTGCAGGTCCTCCAGCGGGGAGGGCAGCGAGGCGGCGCCGCGGCCCAGGCTCAGGTCCTCGTAGTTGGGGTTTAAAACCTCCGACAGCCTGCTGCTCCGGCTGGTTTCACTCACAGTCTGGTTCATGTAGTCTGGAAGATACAGAGCAGGACAACAGCTCAGAGGCACAGAGACGGAGAAACACCAAACCACCGCTCAGCGCTGCTCTCTGTCCCTTTGTGGCCGTTAGGTCTCTCTGGACGGAGCATCCAGTGACGTCTGACACAGAATCACTGACAGACGCAGTCTGAACTAGCAGCAGCTCATCAGACTGTACAAAGAGTTTATTTCTGACAACCTGAGTCGTTCTTTAGCAGCAGCAAAGTGACGCAGGACGAACGCTGTGCCGCTGATTGACCCCAAAAACTGAGACTGTGTGACTAAAGAACACAGCTGCTGTCAGAGCTGGTCGTCCTGTCTGCACGTCACGGATCAGCACCAGGAACCAGTGACCACCATCAGCCGAAGGGCTACAGAGGCCACAACTGACCACAGAGAGACACAAACT